GGAACCATCTTGAAAAGCAATGGCTCTGCCAAGATGTCCACTAGAGACGATGCTGGCTGGCCAGTGACCCGGGTGAGCCTAAACATGCACTGCCATTTAAATAGCTGTTTTAAGAGCAGCATACCAGCAGCACCCTCATGCGGCTGGAAGGAAAAGTGAGCTAAACCCTCCGTGTTTCTCCCTCAGCAGCCGACAGAACTCAGTGATATAATGACATTAAGAACAGAATAGTTATACAGAGGTCGTCCTATCCCAACAAGAATAGCATCAGGAAGAAAAAGGCATTGAAAGGGGAAACTAAGATGTGGAAATGATTACAACATCTTTCATACCAGCACAGCATTTGGGGGCTGTTCGGGTAGAGAGGGTGAGGGACAATACAGAGAGAGCCATACTGTACTAGTTGTTTATAACATTTCCAAAGGCATGAAGAAAGTGGTTAAGGAAAACTGTCCTCCCTTTCTCATTAGGTTTATTCAGTAGAGGTCAGTGGCAATCAGATCAGGACTAGACAGGGATGGAAGCAATGCAACCCATATGTGAGTCATGTGTGCTCTCCCCCAGTTATTCATTTGCCTCCCAGACTTCCCCATCATTAAAAAATGATCTAAAAATGAAATATCATACATCCAGCAGCTTCCACAGGGTAGCTGCAAATCACTTCTGATTTCATCAGGAAGAGTAGATTCAGCAATGGGGATCCTGAGGTGGGTGGGGAAAGGGGACCTTGACCCTCGGTACAGTTACCTAGCCATGGAAGGAGCAGTGCAGAAGGATGAAACTTCAGCTGCATCCCTAGATGAGGAGGATAAATTGAACTTCAGCTCCTCATGCAGTTGAGATCTAAAGTGATTGCTGTAATCCTATGTATGCAATGCTGGCTTGACAGATAGTTTGGAAAATAAAACTGCTTCACAATAAGGCTGTCAGGAGGCTTGTAACTGTTAGATCATTCACATTACATCAATTCATATCAGTGCTCAAATAGACAGGGAAGCTCAAAATCTCTGTTGAGCCTCAGATTTAAGATCTCTCTGCTCCATTTCCTCTCTTGCAAAGCAGGTGAACAGTGATTGGCTTAAAAAGGTATTAGACACACCAGTGATGTCACAAACAACTTTGTGTGTCAAAGGAGGAGAGCAAAGAGCCACAGACTCTGAATAGCAGATGCCGATAGTAAGACAGCATCAGTTTAAGAGTGTACAGGTAAGTCTCAGTCCATCACCCACAAGTACAGGCAAGGATGACAGACTAAGAGCTCAAAAAACAAGACATGATGACAGAGGCTACTTTGCAGCTTGGTCTGCAATCCCAAAAGTTCTTCGTCCCTCCCATCTGACTCCATCTGGGGCAATCTAGTTGCTATTATTATTAATTGTTGTTGTTTAGTCGTTAAGTCATGTCCGACTCTTCATGACCCCATGGACCAGAGCACGCCAGGCCCTCCTGTCTTCCACTGCCTCCCGGAGTTTGGTCAAATTCATGTTGGTAGCTTCGATGACACTGTCCATCCATCTCGTCCTCTGTCGTCCCTTTCTCCTCCTGCCCTCACACTTTCCCAACATCAGGGTCTTTTCCAGGGAATCTTCTCTTCTCATGAGATGGGCAATGTTCTGGAGCCTCAGCTTCAGGATCTGTCCTTCCAGTGAGCACTCAGGGCTGATTTCCTTCAGAATGGATAGGTTTGTTCTCCTTGCAGTCCAGGGGACTGTCAAGAGTCTTCTCCAGCACCACAATTCAAAAGCATCAATTCTTCAGCCTTCTTTATGGTCCAGCTCTCACTTCCATACATCACTACAGGAAAAACCATAGTTTTGACTATGCGGACCTTTGTCGGCAAGGTGATGTCTCTGCTTTTTAAGATGCTATCTAGGTTTGTCATCGCTTTCCTCCCAAGAAGCAGGCGGCTTTTAATTTTGTGGCTGCTGTCACCATCTGCCCAAGAAGGTAAAATCTGTCACTGCCTTCATATCTTCCCCTTCTATTTGCCAGGAGGTGATGGAACCGGTGGCCATGATCTTAGTTTTTTTGATGTTGAGCTTCAGACCATTTTTTGCGCTCTCCGTCATTTTAGGTTAGGCATCCTTCAGTCTCGAGAGACTATGGTACTGTAACGTGTTCTGTATGGAAGACCTGGAACAGCATCTAGTGTGGCTGAGAAGGCCAATTCGAGAGTGACAATCCCTTCCACACTGAAGACAAATACAATCTGTCCCCTATCCAGCTCCTTGATTTTGCTGCTTCTGGGACTGCCTCTTTGCCTTAGCCTGATGGACAAGGGTCTCTTCAAATTGGGAGAGGTCGTGATGCACCGCCTGCCTCCAAGCTGAATGTTCCAATGTCAGGGTTTCCAATCTGTTGAGGTCCATTCCTAAGGCCTTCAGATCCCTCTTGCATATATCCTCATTAAGAAGTTCTTTAGTTCCTCCTCACTTTCTGCCATCAGAGTGGTATCATCTGCATCTCTGAGGTTGCTGAGATTTCTTCTGGCACTCTTAATTTCAGCTTGGGATTCATCCAGTCCTGCCTTTCACATGATGTGTTCTGCATATGTTAAATAAGCAGAGAGACAATATACAGCCTTGTTGTACTCCTTTTGCAGTTTTGAATTGATCAGTTGTTCCATATCCAGTTCTAACTGTTGCTTCCTGTCCCACATATAGACTTCTCAGGAGATAGATAAGGTGGTCAGGCTCTCCCATTTCTTTAAGGTCTTGCCCTAGTTTGCTGTGGTCCACACAGTCAAAGGCTTTTGTAATTATTTAATGCTGAGCAAAACACACTCTGGACATTCACACTGCCATTTTTTCCTTGATTAATACTTCTCATGTTCCAAGTCTATGCCTGAGCATTAAAAATATGCAAAACCCTGATGAACTTTGGCTCAGACCTTAAAGGGCAGAGTAGCAGACATTAGAGATGCTCCATAATTAAAAGAAGAAAATGCTTGAGGGGTGATTATATTTCATTCATTTATTCATCTTGGGTATCCTGTCCCTGACGGAGAATACCAAGAACTGCTATATAATAATTAAAGAAAACATTAAAACATGACAACGTAACAACCTAAAATAACAAATATATATAAGGTAGTGAAAACACAGATTAAAAACAATAAAAATAAAGCATAATTAGCAACAACCAAAAGCAAACCAAAATAGTTTTGCAAGAGACTAACAATTTTAATAGCTGGCACCTTTAAAGGGGAAGTCCAAACAACCCCAATTGGTGCACAGAGTTATACAGATAGGGGCAGCCTAATAGGTATGTGGGCTCCAAGCCATTTAGTGTTTTAAAAGTAATAACCAATGCTTTCAACTGAATCTGGAAAACCAGCATCAGCCAGTGTAATTACTACAGGATAGGTTTCATATAATCATAGTGGGAGTCAATAGCCTAAGCACTGCCTGCTGTAACAATTGAAGCTTCCAAGCTGTCTTCAGGTTTGTATGTCTCACAGCTGGAGTTTCTGTCACCTCACAGTGGGGTATCCAATTTGGGGTATCCAAATTAGCCAGTTTGCTTTGTTCTGTAATTGATGTTTTGGACTTGAGCACTGGGATTCCTCTGATGTCTGATATATAAAATAGGAAAGACTGCCTCTGCTACAGCAATGTGGTTTCAGCTCTCCCTATGGGCTACAACACCTGTGTCTGCCTTAAATTTATTTTATTTATCTATTTAAAATCTTTTTACCCTGTCTTTCTCCTTGAAAAGGGTCCAAGGCGGCTTATATCGTTAAAAGACAATATTTAAAGCTGAAAACAATGAGTATAAAACAGTAGTTTACAATCATAATTAAAAGACAATATTTAAAGCTAAGAACAAAGAGTATAAAGAGGCAGTTAACATTATTAAAACTAAAAACCATAGGTATACAGATACTAAAAAGAAACAAATACAACTCTGTGAAAAAAATACAAGTAGTACTAAAAACCCAGTCAAAAGAGGAATACAGAACTATTCATCTAAAAATCACACTCAGGCAAGCCATTCAGTAAGGGACAGCTTGCCTGAAGAGAAAAGTCATTGCAAGGCGGAGCCGGTCTGGTCTCCCGTGGGGGAAGGTTCCAGAGTCTGGAAGCAGCAACAGAGAAGGCCCTCTCCTGTGTCCCCCTCAGATGTGCATGGTAACTGTGAAAGTGGTGGGACGGAGAGAAAGGTCTTTCTTGATTATCTTATCACTCCGGCTGGCTCATAATAGGAGATACGGTCTTTGAGGTAGGTCGGGCCCAGGGCATTTAGGGCTTTATAGGTTTAAACCAGCACTTTGAATTGTGCTCAGAAATGGATCAGCAGCCTGTGCAGCTGCTGTTAACAGAGGAGTTGTGTGATCCCTTACAAATGTACAAACACTTTTTGATAGTGTGGGGAATGTGAGGGCTAAGGTATTGGGGATGCATGTGCAGCCCAAAGGCCACATATTTCCCCTCTGAGGTCTGTAAGGACCCTACATCCCTCCCAAGTACTATCAGTTTAATAGAGGTTTATAAAGTTATTTTGAATGGGCTGCACCTCCCAGAGCCTCCCATCCACCAAAAAAAAGCATTGCAAGCCCCATCGGAACGCATTGGGGTCGGGAAAAAAACCCCACAAAAAACAATGCAAGCCCCATCAGAATGTGTCAGGGCTGGGAAAAAAATCACCAAAAAACAAACAAACAAACAGAGCAAGCCCCATCGGAACACGCTGGAGCTGAAAAAAACCACACGAAAACACACACAAAAATGACAGCACAGAAACATAATCCCCCCGCACTCAAACCCACCCTGTAAAACCCTGTATGTACTCACTCAGAAGCAGAAAGCAGCACCAGGCAGTCCAAAGCCTCCTCTGACGCACACTCTCTAACCGTTGGGGCAAAGGAGCTACTCTTCGCTGACAAACGCTTAGTAATTTAAATTCCCAGCCTTTTCCCTCATCTTTTTTTCCGGTTGTTAACTCGGTCGCAAGTAGAAGCAAATTTTTGCATCCTGAGCTGATCATAACTCAAAATGGTCATAAGTCAGGACATTTGTAAGTTGAGGCACCACTGTATTGAGAAAACTTACCACATATCTCAGTTTATTTAAATTTGTTTCTCTTTGTATCTCTAACAGTCTCAATGCGATGATCAAAGCGATGGCCCGTGAAAAAGGCTATTTTGCCTGGAAAATGGGGCCACTCCAGACACAGTTACGCCAAGGAGAATATGAATTGTTCAAGTTTTCCCCTATGTTTGAAAGTAACTTTGTCCAGGTAAGTCATTGAGACATTTAGCAGTAGGGACAGAATACTAAAAAGAAAGATATAGGCAAATGTGGCCAGGGTGCACTTAGCAGTAGGGACAGAATACTAAAAAGGCATGTAAGAAAGATATAGGCAAATGTGGCCAGGGTGAAAGTTTAATTCAGATAGAGACAGCTTTGATAGGTCTGAAGGTCAACAGTCAGCCCCTTGTAAACCACTGTGTGCTGCTAAAATTCAGCAACAAGGCAGCAACTGCCTGTGAAAAATCGTATTTCTAGTTTCCTGGAAATCACAATTTTATTCTAAACCAAAGTGCAGGATGAAATTCCTGGAGTGCAGCTCTCTTCTAGAACAAGGCTTATGATTCAGATGTTTAAAAATATTTAGAGGCTGTGTGTGATTTTATAGTAAAAATGTAATTGTCAAATTGTTGTATTTGATGGTGTCTATATGTTGATTTTATTTTATATTTGTAGTGTTGATACTGTTTAATTTAGCTGTGAACTGTCCAGAATGGCCCTGGGCTAGATGGGCAGTATACAAATCAATCAATCTATCTATCAGTCAGTCAGTCAGTCAGTCAGTCAGTCAGTCAGTCAGTCAGTCAGTCAGTCAGTCAATCAATCAAGGATATTTTTTAAAACCACTGTACTGCCAAAATGCAGTGGCACAGTGCTGTATTCAGCAGTGCCAGCAGATGCTCAAAAGCCAACAAAACTGGCCAGGAAGATGATTATAGCTACTTGTTTCTCATCACCATGGGTTAAAATACAGCAGTGCCAGCAGATGCTCGAAAGCCAACAAAATTGGCCAGGAAGATGATTATAGCCACTTGTTTCTCATCACCATGGGTTAAAATATGAGGTGTGTGTGTGGGGGGGTGGGTGGTCCAATTTGCTTGAAAGTTATGCTCTCTGACTTTTTCCCCCCTCATTTCCACATTCCTCCTAAATGACAAGAGATGGTTGTTTTGGTTTTCTCATTTCCACATTCCTCTTAAATGACAAGAGACGGTTGTTTCGGTTTAGTACAAGGCTGCACAATATGTGGCCCATCAAATTAAACACAGCATATCAGCCATCTAGTACTTGATAACATAATCCCATTTTGCAGTTCTAGGAATAGCATATCAGCCATCTAGTACTTGATACAGTAACATAATCCCATTTTGCAGTTCTAGGAATATAAGCATTCATAATTCATAAAAGGTCATAAGCAAAGGGATGGATCTAGACTTAGCCAGGTTCAGAACAAACCCATTAACATCAAGGGGACTTTGTTGTAATTTATTTATCCTATTCATTTTATTATTTTAGGCATTGTTAAATTTGGATCCAAGTAATAGTCACAAGCAATGTGGTTGTGGGATGAATTCAACCTATGGTTCTTAGCCTGGGACGAATTCATTCATTCAGAGGACTTTACAGTTAGGAATATTCCTAACATCAGCTCAGGGCAATTTACAAATTATGAGAGAAAACTGTTACTGAAAGGATCTCAGCACTGAAGGGGGGACAGTCAAGATTTTAGTATATTAGGCCCTTTTTTCACCCTTGCATTAGCTTCTGACAGCCTGTGCAATGTTATTCTTATACATTACTCACTCTGTGTTGAGAATAAAATGTCAGATCCTAGATTTCTCCCTAGGCTCTTTTTTAAAAGTGCCAGAAAGCAATGTGTAATCAGATAGGAATGGTTCTTCCCCCATATGTTGGAAAAAAACAGACAAAAACTACTACTCCTTGGTCCATTTAAAATGAGCTGAGTTGTATGTGTAACAGGATTACAGAAAGAAAACAACCAAATGGATAAGCAACAAAGATGGGTGAAAAACATGTTTTTCAGGGAACTGCCAGATGGCTTTGTTGCTGTTGTTGAGAACCTGATTCTCTCTTCTTTTGATAAGATTCCATAACCCACATCTCCTATTTCTGCACCTTTGCCATTTCTTTCTCCCACCACAAGAGCACTTAAATGATTCCCACCCAACTCCAATCCCTCACTCTTCTCCATAGCTTTGCCTGTAGATCATAATAAAAATCGTCTTCCTGAATATTTGATAGCCAGCAATGAAAGAAGTGTTAAAACATTAGATTAGGCATTCTACATTTTGAGAAAGTGGCAAACTGTGCATTAATTTCTAACTCAGATCAGCAAGCAAGGGGGGCCAACCCAGATCCACAACCAGGAAGAAACTGTGACTGTTGCCATTACCGCTACAAGCCCTGTCCTACTGATCCCCGATGTGCTGCTCTTGGCTCGGCCCATTGTCTCTCCTGAAGAGTATACGCCAAAACTCAAAAACAAGTTCCATCCTCACCCTCCAGTGAGATACGAGCTAACAAGGTGAGTCTTCTGACAAGGGCATCGAGGGAAATACAGTGGTACCTCGACTTACGACCTTGATCCGTATTGGAACAGCGTTTGTACGTCGAAAAGTTTGTAAGTCAAGGCAAACTTTTCCATAGGAATGCATTGAAAACCATTTAATCCATACCTGCTGTTTTTCATTTTTAAGTCGAGGCGCTCTTCTTAAGTTGAAGCATTATTTCCCATAGGAACTAATGCAAAGCCGGTTAATCCGTATCTATCACCAAGAAGCAATTTTTTTTAAAAAAAAATTCTTCTTTTGACCTAAGGTGAACTTAGGTAAAAAACATTGGGCAGGAAAGGTTTTTTTTTTTGGTTCATAAGTGGAAACTCCATTCACAGGTTGAAGCAACTTTTTGCGAACGGAGACGTTCGGAACTCGAATTGTTTGTGACTAGGGACATTCGTAAGTTGAGGTACCGCTATTGCTGATTTATCACCATCTCAATCACTGGTTCTGATATGAGTCATGAGTCCCTTTGGCTCTATCCTGGAATCTATCATTGCCAGTATTACGTATTTAGTCAAACCATTAGCTAATGTAGCCTGTTGTTATCAACTGAAAAACTGAAAGAAACTCAGGAATAAGATTAAGAATCTTTCTTTCCGTGAAATGCTATAGGCGCTTTTCTAGTCCTACATAACTGAGGACAGTTGCTGGTGCCAAAGGTTGGCTCTTCTCTATGTAAAATAAACACACACAAGCTTAAATAAAATGGTCACCACAAGCTACTGACCATCCTTATACACGTCACCATCCAAAACCTATTTCTGTATACTCTTCAGATAAACACATTACTTGGAATGAGCAACAGAACATGATTACCCTGTATTTCCCCCCCAAAAAAGTGGGGGAGAAAGTATGTGTATCTTATGGAGTGAATACTATAAAAAAGGGCTCAGCCACCACCACCCAGAAGCCTCCCACCACAATGCTGGGAGCCCTGATGCCTGCCATGGCAGCCACATTGCACCTCACCACTCTGCCATCTGCACTGCTGGCTTTCCAGGATCTGCCTCCTAGAACCCACCTGGAAAACCAGCAGGGCCAACAGGCCTATGGCAGCAAATTTAAATGGCAGAGGGCAGTGAAAACAGCCAAGGACTGAAGGGGAAATAGTGATTCTAGAAAGACCAGGGGAAACCACAAGCACAGTCCCCCACTACCACTAATTAGGCAGTTGATCTTCCCACCTTTGGGGAAATCGTAGGGATCAGCACACCTAAAGTGCAATGGATGAGACTTACCCTGGGAAAACCACTTTCATGATCATGGTATCTCCCCTGCCAGGTATGAGTTAGAGTGGTCTCTGCACATCCTGCCCCCTTCTGTGCCATCCCCCCCCAAAGCGTGGTGACCCCCTGGCTGCACCTCCTGCTCAGAACAGGGCTGCACAGCCCCAGTCCCGCCAGAGGCCAAGATAGCTCCTCAGTGTTTTGGAGTGCCCCATGGGACCCCCATCAGGGGCTGGGTGTTCCTGCCACAATCCTGCAGTTTAGAATCGCTCCGTTTAGCGACAAAACTGCAAAGCGATGAACTTTTTGCGATCGCAAAAGTGATCGTTTTGCAATGTTCCCTATGGGGGAATTTTGCTTTGTGATGATCGGTTCCCTGTTTCGCTTACCGATCATCGCAAAGCGATGATTTTTTAACAGCTGATCGGTGGTTTCAAAATGGCCGCTGGGTAAACAAAATGGCTGCCCGCTGTTTTCTGGGACGGATTCCTCACTTTAGAGGCACTGAAAATGGCGGTGCTATGGAGGATCTTCGCTTAGAGGTTAGTTTTAAGCCCATAGGAACACATTAATCGTGTTTTAATGCATTTCTATGGGCTTTTTAATATCGCTTAGCGACGAAATCGCTTAGCAACGTTTTTTCCGGAACTGTTTAACGTCGCTAAGCGAGGCACCACTGTATTTCCAAAGGGTGTTGCAGCAAGGAAACTAACTGTGCTTTATGATCCAAAACACAAACTTGGCTGCTGATCACAAATTAACCCTGCATATATGGGAAAGCAAAATTCAGTCTTACTTTTAGTTGTTTCCAAGTCCTTATGGTTGTGGTATCTCTTTGATGTATCTAAATCAGAACAGGGCCAGGAATTCTCAGAGACAGGGCATCGTTATTTAGTTAGTGTTTTTGGAAAAGAGTTCTTGCCTGTAGCACATACTACATTTGCTGAAACAGTAGTGTGAAAATTAAGAAAGTCAAAATTCTTCGTGACTTCTAACTGGATTACAGTACCTGCTTCCTGATTTCAGCTACTATAGTTTGTATTCAATTTTTTTTTGGCTCGCCAAGAACATTCTTCCTGGCTTTGTGTTGCCTAACCTGTTGTGCCTTGCATGCTATAAACGTTCAATTATGTCGGAAAACCGAGATTTAGTCTTATGCTGAGCATGTGCTACTGCTGGTGAATGGGATCAGGTTAAGCTTTGTGTTGCTGTTCTTTTGCATAACCTAAAGTAAATAAGGAAAACCAGCTGTTAAATAGTTTAATTCCACTATTTATCCTCCACACAACTAAAAGGGACCTCTCAATGCAGTGCCAAATCAGACAAACGATTTCTGACGTAATACAGGCTTGAGCTGTAGCTGGGCAGAGTTGCACAACAATCTCATCTGTCATTGAGCCATTTCTATAAGCATGGGGAGGAGGTGGATGAAAGGAAATGTAAAATATAGGTAGTGTGGTATAGGTCTTATCACTGGCTGATAATGGTCTATATGTACTTGACTTAAATTTATAGTACACAAATTTATGGTACATAAACTAGAGTACACAAACCTTTAAGTCTCTCCATTTGTTAATGACAGTGGTAATGGTTCTTAATGCCACTGTTGACTGCTGTTCACTTTACATGGTTCAAATGTTATTCTGTTATAGTTTATTAAATATTTATTACACTATTTGGTTCAGAATATTTTTTCCTGTTTTCCTCCTCTAAAAATTAGGTGTGTCTTAAGGTCAGGTGCATCTTATGGAGCAAAAAATACGGTATTTTGCAGATTATCATTTCATAAATTCTTACAGATTACCATTTCAGCTTCCATCCAGCAATAAGAAATAGTAAATTGTAGTTAAAAGCCTAAACGTTGCCAATCTCACTTCACTGTCAATACAGGTTGTTTCCTTTGTGCTTTGTCAAGATTACAATCCATAATGCAGAAAGACAACAGCTGCGGTTTAAGCTAGCAAATGGCCGCACTTTCTACCTCCAGCTGAGTCCTGATTCCAAAAGGCAAGAAGACCTTTTTGATGCCTGGATCAGGATTGTGCAATTGCTGCGGCCACCTTTAGAAGCTACTCTTAGTGAGAAGAAGGAACAACCAAGAAAAGCAAAGGGCCAAAGAAAGTTCCAAGGACTACGACGTGCTGCAAAGCAAAGCAAAGTGAGTCAGCTATGAATTCATCTGTAATCTTGAGAGGAACTGGTGGGGAGCAGTGCAGAATTAGCAGCAATTTATGGGCATGTGAATCTTACATCTATGTGAGCTTCTACCCTCCAACAGTGGCAATGATCCATTCACTGCCAAATAGGCACTAAGAATCCAGCAAAGACACTAGGGAGAACCAACTGTTTCATTTTTTAATAACTTTTGAACTTTATGATGCACAAATTCAGTCCACCCTATTTCTTCATCAGTTTACAATTAATTCATTTATTTTGATCAAACACAGCTACAGACCATAAAAGAGGTACCTTCAGTTATAATTTTAAAAGTAATTGCTTTGTCATTATTCAAAAATCCCTAAAATAGTAAACATGCTTCAAATAGTTTTTTTTAAACAAATGCCTGCTGTAACTATAAAAAGAACTAAAATGGTTAAAGTTATAGTACAAAAGAAGTTATTCCTTTTCATGTTACATTCATAAAGTAACTCAGTTATTTTAAAAATAATTAGTTATGTAACCTAATTTCCAGGTTGTTACCTCTGCATATTTTGTGTATACTGTTTTAAATACACATTTTCATGCACATTTCTCCTAATCTATGCATTCTTGTATAATGTTTTCCTGATTTCTACTTTAGGAAAAATGCATTAAAAATACATATATTCTCAGAAATGTATCCAAATAATTTACATATAGATTATATATTGATAAACTATTACAAAATAAAATTCTGTAAAATACATATTTTATGTATTTCTTTTAGGAAATTTAATTCAGTAATAATTTATTTTTTTAAAATTAGAGAGATGGAGCACAAAATTGGAGGAAGTGTGGAAGATAAAGGATAATTGTGTTCCGGATTGATTATTGCTTTGGGACACATGGATTGGGTCAGTTCATCTCAATATGCAAAACAAATCAACTTCTCTCCAATCTTTATTGTTTTCAAATAGACTAGGACTCTGTGAGGCAATACATTTCTGAGAGGGGTGTTAAGAATTCGGAAAGGATTGAAGAGCCAGTAAATTATCTGCCTACTTATTCACAGAAACCATGGATGCTTCTCCCTTTTCCCTTTCCAGCGAAAATACTAAAAAGGATTTAGCACCCCCCTTTCCCTTAATATTCATTACAGCTGTTCATTCTGAGGCCCAGTTTATAAGCACAAAAGACGGCAGAACGGATTATACCATGGAAGGCAGGAAATAACATTTTTTTATGCAAGTAGAAAAGAAGTACAGCAAGGAGGACGCTAATTAGAACTTCTCCCTACTGTGACAGTTAAAGGAAACAATAATGAGAAGTGCTAGAATTCAACTTCTGGCTGTACATAGAGCATTTTGAATCGCTCCCTTCAGCTACAAGTGGGTGGGTGGGTGGGGAAACCCTAGCCTAGACCACCAGGATGAAAAGTTCTATTGCTGGTTGCTCCTTGCAAAGCTACCTTTCAACTTGCATGGATTTCCTTTAACACAGAGGAACTTTTAAACATGTAATTTCCCCACCACCATCTTCCAGAGCGATACAATATGCCCTACCATTTCATTCTGAACCATACACTTCTAGATTGCTCTGGTGCTGATTGTCTCAATCTCCATCTTTCCAGGGTCCATCTTCTCAACACAAAACTGCACTCAAGAGCATTCATGATCCCCCCAAAAAGGCCAGCACTCATCAAAAGGAGGTCAAGAAGAGACACAAGCCACCCCCATCTTCAGAGAGCATAACCAGCCCTCAGGTCACTGTCCCACCTTCCAATGTAAAGTCTGTGAAAGCACAAGACCCTCTTACATCCCCAGAAAGAGAGGAGACTGAAAAAAAACAAGAGGACAATGAAACTCCTTTTACCAAATTGGAGGAGGACGAGGAGGACATGACAAAAGCAATCCCTGGGCACAGGAGCCCAGCTAGTGAGAAGGCAGAGGCAGCTACCAAGCAGAGCAACTCTCAGCCTAAGAGGTATTCAAAAGATAAACTTGGCCAGAAAGGATGTATGCTTATGCTGTCTCCTGCTTTGGAGGTCTCTAGGGAGAGTCTAGCAAGAACTTTTGGAAAGCTGCAACAGTTGTGGGTGTGCAGCTGCCTCTTCTTCTACTAACGTCACTGCAGGCATTCCTTTAAAGCAGGGCAGGGGGATCTCTAGTGCATGGGCCACCTATGGGTCTTGAAGCCTCTGAATCTTTCCTGTTTTGCTCTGTTCTCTCTCCTTAGGCCGCACAGCCACCTCCCAGGCCACAACCCTCACCAATCCCAATCTGGGTAGCAGCAGTATCTACTGAAGATCCTATCAATAAAAAGCTCAGGTTGCCTAGTGAGAACAGTTAGATAGAAATGTTTCCTTGTGTAATTCAACCGGCTTTGAAAGCTGGCCATGCCCACTGATAAACCCTGCTAAGTTGTAACCAAATGACTTCCTATCCATACCCCCAAAACTGATGGTATGTACAATGCTTAGCATAGTGGGTACAATGGTGCTCCTTGTTTGTTTGTTTGACTTCTGTACCACCCATCTGGCTGCTAGGGCCACTCTGGGTCATTTACAATTAGAAAACAGATAAACAATAGTATGAAACAATAAACATAACAATCAAAATTAAGCATCAATAAACATAGACTAGCAACATAAGTAAAAACTAAAAATAATTAGGATAATTTAAAGGCAAAATGGCAGAACGGGTAGCATAAAATGCTGAAATAACCACTATGTTAGGATGTTAAATACTCTGGGAAAGCCTGCCTGAAAACCCATGTTTTCAGAGATAGTTTAAAATTCTTCTCTTGATCAGAGGAACAGCTATACAGCTTCTCATCTGGGACATGGAGCTGGGAAGAGGGCAAGACTTTTTTTTAGCCTACAGCACAGACTAGAACCACAGGGAGTCAGGATGTACCACCCCAGACAACATTCAACCCAAAGAGGAAGTGCTTTTGAACAACTCAAAGAGCCTGAGAGAACTCGACATAAAAATACACATACTTCTACCCCAGGATACACGAACAGAAGAACAATGGGCCTGTACACCAATGCTCAGCATTGGATGAATATTGTGTGTTTGTCAGCAGGAACCCTCCCCTCCCTCAGCCTGTTTAGAGTGAAATGCCAACAATTAAGACTGTTGGATGGATCAGGGCAATGTTGAATCATGAAGAAGAAGCCTGGTAATAAAACAAATGCGGGCATTTACAAATTCTATAATACTTCTAAAAGGACAGTTCCCTTCTAGTCCCATCAAAATCAACTCATGCTGGAGAGCTTCCAAGCTAATCCAAGTCACTTCACTAATAATGTTAATAAACCTTTTGAATGCAAATTGCAGCCTATCTCCTAAAACTAAACACTTGATTTACACCCCAAGAGTAGAAACAGGATTAAATCCCTCTAAATCCTCTGATGCCAGTGTCCTGATCAGGTCATCTGGCTGTTCTCAATTCAGATCTGTTTTAGTTTGAGTAAGACTATAATTGTAAATTGAAAACCAACAGGAAATTCTCTTAATTTCTCTTTGTTCCAAGTCAGTCTAAGTCAGTATTCTGTTTCACATTCACAGAGGGCATCAGTAGCAGGAGAAACTCCACTGACCTTAAAAAATAATCTCATGTGAAAATAGTCTCATGGTAAACATTCATCATCCAGCACAAAAACAGGCTCCCCTCCCCCCCCCCCAGGAATCAAATATGATAGTGTTCTCTTTAAAGTACACTGATTACTTTGGCTGTACAGAACAGTTAAACAACAAAATAGGTTTCTGACTGGGTGCATTCTTGTTTCAGAAAATCTGATCCCAAGAGGAAGCATGACAATCAAAGCAGGTCGGGACAAAGAGGTAGGAGAGATCCAAAATGGTTTATTTTGTAACATCAGAATAAAATCTCAGTTTCCTGTGGTATCTCTAACTTCCCTTCTCTCAATATTTCTTGGCAATTACGACATCTGGTCAGAGCTGAAATTACCTTTAATCAATCATTTTTGAGACGTAGAATGCTCCATTTAAAAATGTTCATATTGACATATTTTAAAAGTGTATAATATGTATACTTTACAATTGTTGTTTCCCAGTGTGGTGCAGTGGATAGAGTAATGGACCAGGACTCTGGAGACCAAGGGTGGATTCCCACTTGGCTACGGAGTAGGGGAGTGCACCTGGTGAAAACCACCCTTTAAATATTTCATTTACCATGAAAGCTCTATTAGGGTCGCTATAAATTGGTTCTGACTTTACGGCACAGAACACACACTCACGGTTATTGTTATTGTGTCTTGTCAAGTCACTGTCTAACAGAGGTTTTAAGGTATGTGAGATGTTCAAGGAGTGCTTTACTGTTGCCAGCAGTACTATTGGTTCCACAGTCCATCAGGGATTTGAACCCAGGACTCTTGAATGCTAGTTCAACATTCTATCCACTACACCACACTGACTTTTACCTTCTATAATAATTATTATAATAATAACTGTTTGCTCTTTCATATACTTCTTATAGCAGAGATGCCCCTTTGGCACTTTGGCATCTGAGGCAAAAAATCAAAATGGCACCTCTCACAATGGAAATAATTGATCATTTTCTTTCCTTAACAGTGCTCTGAAATCCGCTGCCTTGCTCTGTTTTTTTAGCAGAGCAGGTCTTGCTTTATATCGATCTTCATCTTTCAAAAGACAGACCTTCTCTCCACATATCTCCTTCTCTTGCTGGGCATCAATCATCTCCTCCTATTTCACACACTTATTTTCTTCAAAGCCCAGCTGGGGTGAGGAGGAGGTTCTACTCTGTCCTCTTTACCTTAAGGAAAGCCCTGCACCTCCACACCTCTTGGGACTGGGGGACAATATTTTCTCTATTTTCCCTTCTTTTTGTAAGAATGAAATATGCCTGTAGGCAAGGAAGGAGAACTAATGTTTGGAAAAGTTACTTTTGGATGTAACTCTCAGAATCCCCCAGCCAGCATGGCCAATGACCATGATAACAGGGAAATCCTGAGAGCTGAAGTCCAAAAAAGTAACTTCTTCAAGCTCTGAGTGGAATATATTTTTTGAACTCCCTGCCCCGAAAATCATGACTGTCATTATGTTGCTGACTTTTAGAATGGACATACAAACTTCTTTATCTTAAAAAAAGGATGATTATAGCAACTAATTTTTAAATATGATCATAGTGTCTTTTAACAGGATGGCTTAGCCTTCTGCAGTTTTAATATCACACGTCAGATTGTATATTTCTGTTTCTTACTTTACTCTCTAAATATTTTCTTGATTTGATGGTGCATCTGTTTGAGTGTCTAGCAACAATACGACTCAGAAATATTTAATACTAGAGATGGGGACAAATCAAAATAATGGTGATTTGTTTTGATCCGTTATTTGTCAAGATTAACGGACCAACGAATACGAATATCCGAATATTCTTTGACAAATCGATTGATCTGCACTTTAAATGGCTATAACACTGAGAGACATCAGATTAGCAGGGAAACTTCCTCAGACACTTTCCTACAACGCCTGAAAGTTTGGTGAACATTGGATCATGGACCCCCAAGTTATATAGTCACAAAGGGGAAAGCTTTCCTCAGGAAAGCTCCCCCCCAGGTACTTAGAGATTCCAGAATCATAACACAGCTTGCTTGCTTGCTTGCTTGCTTGCTTGCTTGCTTGCTTGCTTGCTTGCTTGCTTGCTTGCTTGCTTGCTTGCTTGCTTATTTATTTATTTATTTATTTATTTATTTATTTATTTATTTATTTATTTATTTATTTCCCCCTTATTTCCATATTTCTCCTAAATGACAAGAGATGGTTGTTTTGGTTTAGTACAACAAATTATAAATATACTAAACAAAAAAGAGGAAAAACTTATTAGAAAAACCTCACAGTGTTTATCCTCCACATATTGTCTTCCTCTGCCACGTGACCTTGTCCTTTTTGATGTTATTAAGCTTGCAGCATTTGATAGAGCTTGAGTATGGATCTTATTAGTGGGACAGATCACACAGTTCTCAATGGTGGGCATAAAGTTCTCAATAATATGCATAAAAGGTATCAAAAACACCAAAGTCAGAAATGGGGAAGGCGCTTTTGTTACCATTTTCCATCCCTGAAAGCTGGGTAAGAAGGCATTAACCCAGAGTGAGCAGACGGAGAGAGAGGAACTTAAAAAGAATACTGCCCTCCGGTCACCCAATATGGCGCCAGTGTCCCGACGCTCCTGGACCTCACAGGCGCCTTCCGACAGCCTTCAGACAGTCGCAAAAACCATGCACTCTCCTGGTGATCATAACTCCAGGCAGTCTTTCTCCAGGCACTCCGTCGGGACTCATTCCATCAGGAGGATCTTACCTGTCTCTAGTCCCTGGATCCTCTCCTGATAATGCCCTCCAGATCAGGCAAGGAACCTCCGAGCTCCACCGAGCAGCCACCAGCCAACCCCCGCATTTCCAGCTCCGTCTGCACTCCTTCCAACTTGCAGTAGCCAGGACTCAAAGCTCTTCCTGTGCACACACCCCAGCTCTTAGAACAGGTAGGAGAGAGAGGCAACTCAGGGAAAAAAAGAAATAAAAATAAAAGAATGAAAAAAGAATATAAAAACAAACTGAGGCGGTGGCGGTGAAATCGCTACCCGCCCGCCACCGGCGCCAACTTTTAAAAAAAGCTTCTTTTAAAAATTGCTTCCTATGTCTTTCCTCAACATGCTTGACAACTTTGGTGTAGATTGGATATCGGACATCCAAGTTATTCACCCACAAATTGGGTCCCACAGGAGAGTTTACCACCCTGCACAGAAGCCCATTCTGCCTACCGGCTGCCAATCAAGTGATCAGAAGCAGATAGGCAGCCACCCCATACACAGCCAGCCACCCCAACAGCCTACCCCCACACCCCCTTCCTTTCCCTA